TCTGGCAGCCCGGCAGCCAGCTGACCAGGGCCCGGCGGTTGGGAACCACTACCCTATAGAAAGCAGGAGAAGATCAGGAAAGAGCCCTCAGATCGAGAGACTCTCTTACAAAACCAACCTTCCACATGGCTGGGCTTTATAAAACAAGGTAAGTCATTTACCACACACACATTTTACTTCTCTACAGAAAAAAGGGACCCTACACTATCCAAACGCCTACACGCCACAACGGCCCACAATAACGGCATTTTACTTCTCTACAGAAAAAAGGGACCCTACGGTATCCAAACGCCTACACGCCACAACAGCCCACAATAACGATACCCCAGACTCAGCAGCATTGTTAATCTATCCAGCTACACACTTAGGCTGGCAGAAGAGTCTGTCCTATTATGAGGGCTCTTTTTCTTTCCCTCCCCCTGCACATTCATGAGACAGTTCTGCAATGACATAAATAAGGGCACTGTTTTGGGAGAGAAGGGGGAGGGGCAGTAGCTGTGTGTACTGGGAAGTAACTTGCTTTTCTTTCTATTCCCCTGACTATCGGAGTGAGGAGAAACTACTTGGATTCTGTGAATACTCCTCTGCCCTCTCCCTTCACCACCCAGGAGTGAGAAGCATGCATGGAATCCAAGTACTTTCCTCTCGCTCCCTGATAGTCAGGGGAACAGGATGAAAAGCAAGCAGTGTCTTCCCAGTACACATGGCTGCTCCCCGCTCCCTGCTTTCCCAAAACGGCGCCTTTGGACATAGAAGCCTACTTTTGCTGTCTCTAATTCAGGGAATATTTCCACCACTTCTCTGAACAGCACACTGCCCTATTGATACCATCCTACCAACGCTACAAGAACTAAGATTCTACGTGGACTCCTCCTGATGGTCACACCGATGTGTACAGTCTGAAATTTTGGACAAGCAGCATCACCTCCTCACCCCATAACCTCAGACATGCAGAACACCATGCCATCCACATCCTCAAGCGAAACTATGATATTATAATCAAAAGGACTGACAAAGGAGGCACTGTAGTCATCATGAATAGGTCAGATTACAAACAGGAGGCTGCTTGATAATTCTCCAACACTGCACTCTACAGGCCACCATCCCTCTTATCCCACTGAGGAGTACCATAAGAAACGACATCATCAACTAGTGTAATATATGTCATCACATGCCAACAATGCTCCTCTGCCATGTACATCGGACAAACAGAATACACAAAAGATACAAACCAGATATTAAGAATGGCAACATCCAAAAGCCAGTGGGGGAGCACTTTATCCTGCCTGGGCACATAGTTTCAGACTTGTAAGTTGAAATTTTCAGACAGAAAAACTTCAAAAACAGACTGCAGAGAGAAACTGCTGAGCTGGCATTCATATGCAAACTTGACACCCTGAATCAAGGTCTAAATAAATATATGGAGTAGATTTTGCATTACAATAGGTAATTTCCATTCAGGTACTCTCACCTTCTCCACTGGGAACTCTTGTATTTTTCAAAGCTGGTATGCTGCATGCAGCCCAGGGCCAGCGGGATGTCCCCAGGGGCTCTTGTGGATTTCAAAGGATAAGTGCCCTCGTGGAGCTCGGAGTCAGCAGGACTTCCCGCTAGCCCTGAGCTGCACGCGGAGTTCTGCATTCCTCCTTTGAAATTCCATTGACTTCTCAACTAGTAAATTACTCGTTAGTTAACACCCTTAGTGTAACCCACACAACTACAGTGGTTCACTGTCCCATGCGATGGCACTTAGACCACTTACAGTAATAGATAAGACCAAGGCAGCTCTACAACATAAGCTGAGGACCAGCTGGCTTTATAGCTCAAGCTGTAGCGGCTCCTCTGCTAAGCTTTAGAAGTCTCAGGTTCAAATCTGGTCCGGGGCAGATACATCAGCACCACTTTTATCTATTCCTGCTTAGTGCTTTAGTGGTGACTTTGGGTACATCTACACTGCAACACTATTTTGAAATAACCAGCAGTATTCCAAAATAACTTAGCCCATGTCTACACAGCAGGCAGTTATTTCAAAATAGTGTCAAAATACTGTCAAGCTGGAGGACTTCTTACTCTGACTCATGTAACCTTCATTGTATGAGGAATAAGGGAAGACAGAGGAAGAGTGCTCTGTCTCAAAATAAGTGCTGTGTAGACGCTCCCCATCTCAAAATAAGATACACAACTGATGTAGCTCAATTTGCGTAGCTTATTTGGAGTTAAGCCTTACATTGCAGACACACCCTTACATGCCTTCCTGCTGGTGTCCCAGCCTGGCAATGGCTGTATGATGATGGGTCAGAAGACACAAATGCTGGGTTTTGAATTCCCTTAAATGCCAGAAGCAATGTCCATAGCTTTCTGACATTCTCATTTTTCTTAGGAAACTGGGTCAATATATACTTCACAAATTAGAGTACTGTAATGGGATTAAATTAAATTAATTCAGGCTGTGTCTACACTATGGGTTTTTTCCCCAGATACCACCGGTATCCGGGAAAAACTCTGCTGCGTCCAGGGAATGCATCTGCTCTTCCACTTTTTTTTTCTTTTTTTTGGTGTGTGGAAACCTTGTCTTCCAGAAACCCTGTTCTTTCGGAAACCCTGTCTTCCTCCTCCCATGAAAGAGGAGGCTTTTCTGAAATTTGGCCCAGTGTAGATGGGCCAAATTTCAGAAAAGCCTCTTTCGAAAAAACTATTGGAAAAAGGTACGCAAATTGCGGAGCTCAATTTATGAACCTTTTTCCAATACATCAGTGTAGTGTAGACATAGCCTCAGTTTCCAAAAAGGAGACTGTTTTGTCTCTACTTAGGAGTTTTTCCATATTAGCTAAGACAACACGGAGCAGCAAAACTCCACTAGTGTAGCTAGGGTTATACCAGTATTAAAGCTTTATATCAGCACAGCCCGTCTTGATTTGGCAAAGTGCCTTTCACCAGTGTAGCTCCACCTACAGGGTAGATTTACCAGAAAAGTTAGGTTGGCAAAAATGACAGGACCTAAATAGAACTGGACTGGCGCTGGTGGTAGAGAGGAATCCTTTGTAATTCTTTCACTCGTTAATCTTGCTGAGCATCATCAAGTAGTTCTACAGTAAAGGTTGGGCTATTATAAATCTAAGGGAATATCACTGAATAGTTTTAAGTGTGGCAAAGTAGTAAGAAGAACTTGTCCTCTTTTTTTTTTTTAAATTAAACAAATTCTTTTCACTGGTGCCTGAAAGCAGTCATTAAACTTATAAATATCAAGTGTAATGGAGGCATGTTTTGCTATTGGTTTTTTTGCATTAAGTTTCTGATATGTTGTGAAAAACATCACTCCAAAAGAGTTCTGGGAACACAGCCTATATTTATCAGATCGTCCCTCCCTGTTTTTATTTTAAAATGAAGAAATATTGCATTTAAAAACCACTGTTTCATTAAGTCTTGTTGCTTATAACTAACTTAGTTAGAGATTTGTAATATTATATTAGTTACTGTTAACAGGACTGTGTTGTCATACAATGAAAACGATATACCTGGATTTGGGAAGGTGGGTAGCCCCAACTTTGCTTTCCATGCTTTTGAATAGTGGGGCCAAACAAACCCCATATGAAACATAACTCAGCCTAAGTGATGGGCTAAGTTACGCTGGCTAGTCCAGTCCTCTGCTGACAGCTTTGCCAGCCAGGGCAGCGTGCCTCACCATATTCACTCCCTGACTCTGGTCTCCTCATTAAATACAGGCAGTCCCCGACTTACGCAGATCCGACTTACGTCGGATCCGCACTTACGAACGGAGCTTTCTCGCCCCGGAAGTCGGGGCGAGAAAGCCCCGTTCATAAGCTGCTCCGGTGCCCCTTGAGACCCGGTGCCTGTGGTCTGCTGGGGACCGTCCCCAGCAGACCACAGGCACCCGGACTGAAGCCGCAGCCGCGGGGGGGGCCCGCGCCTCTGAAGCTTTGCCAGAGCAAAGCCTCAGAAGCGCGGGAACCGCTGCTGCTGCCCCTTGAGACCCGGTGCCTGTGGTCTGCTGGGGACCGTCCCCAGCAGACCACAGGCACCCGGACTGAAGCCGCAGCCGCGGGGGGGGCCCGCGCCTCTGAAGCTTTGCCAGAGCAAAGCCTCAGAAGCGCGGGAACCGCTGCTGCTGCCCCTTGAGACCCGGTGCCTGTGGTCTGCTGGGGACCGTCCCCAGCAGACCACAGGCACCCGGACTGAAGCCGCAGCCGCGGGGGGGGCCCGCGCCTCTGAAGCTTTGCCAGAGCAAAGCCTCAGAAGCGCGGGAACCGCTGCTGCTGCCCCTTGAGACCCGGTGCCTGTGGTCTGCTGGGGACCGTCCCCAGCAGACCACAGGCACCCGGACTGAAGCCGCAGCCGCGGGGGGGGCCCGCGCCTCTGAAGCTTTGCCAGAGCAAAGCCTCAGAAGCGCGGGAACCGCTGCTGCTGCCCCTTGAGACCCGGTGCCTGTGGTCTGCTGGGGACCGTCCCCAGCAGACCACAGGCACCGGAGCAGCTTATGAACGGGGCTTTCTCGCCCCGACTTCCGGGGCGAGAAAGCTCCGTTCGTAAGTGCGGATCCGACGTAAGTCGGATCTGCGTAAGTCGGGGACTGCCTGTAATTGCCTATACCATGGGGGAGGGAAAGGGTAGCATAGAGCTGGCTATGCTGGGTTTATATCCCTCTGCAGAGGGATCCTCAGCTGTCCTAGGGCAGAAGCATAAAAAATATTAGAGAGAGATACAACAGTAATAATACAGGAAAAAAGGAACAAAAATCTTATTTTCATGCAAATCATAATAATTTCATCCAAGTGATAAAAACAGGGGGAGAAAATGACTGCAAATACGTATCCTACCAACTGAACAAAAAATAAACACACAACCAGTTTGTAATATGCTGCATGAGATACAATTAGTCCTAAAGGTGCATAAGCAAACTGCTTTCCCACTTTAAATAATTGTCATGTTGATAAAAAATGGCTGTGAGAAATAGAAATACATCATTTTGATGTAAAACTTACCTGACTCCAACTTCCAGCAAACCACTCCACTTTACCCACACACGGTCCATTGTCACAGGGGGTTGTCTCAGGGGGTCTGTTATTCCCACATCCCTCCAGTGGTAGGCTGCTGACGTGGTTGGTCATGCAAACTACTGACCGTGTTCGCACTCCTGTACCACATTCTGCAGAACACTGTACCATGGGAGATGAAATAGACATTTATTAGCCACGTTCTTTCAACAATGGGAACACAATGAAATGAAGAGCAAGAACTATCCTGGAAGTGTTAATGATACTATTCAATGCTCATTAATATTATTTGTATTACTATTGTGGCAAAAGGCCCCAAATCAGGTCAGGGCTCCATTGTGCTAGGTACTATACAAACATAATAAAAGACAGGTCCCTGTTTCAATGAGCCTACAATCTAAACGAGCAAGAGAGATGAAAGGGTGGGGTGGAGAGGGAAGGATGGTATAGGCACGGTGATCAGAATTAAGTTATGGTAGTTCTTCAAAGCTCTTCTCCTCCATTCCAGATTTTTTTCTCCTTACATAGACACACTCAGTGGGCGTGAGCAGAGAGAAAGGGGAATGGATGAATTCAATAACCGGTTTCTCAAAAGAACAGCACGAGACATACATGGCTCCATTTTCAAACTTTGGGGCTTGAGGCAGGACACCCCATTTTACATCTGGGTGCTCCAACTGGCATTTATATACAATAGTGACAACCTAATGCTGGCAAAGAGGATGGTGGCTGTGAGGTCTTTTCTAGACCCCTGGCATTGATATTGAGATGGATTGCAGAGCATGGCTTGAAGTCTATTGGTCATGCTGCAGGGTGCGACAGCTAGAGCCAACACAGAGTGATAAAAAGGTTCAGGAAAGGGTCAGCCAAACCCAATCCAGTGGTTTTCAAACTATGGGTCATGACCACGTATTGGGTTGTGTAATGTCAGGCACTGGGTCTTGTGGCTGCAGGGGGATCAGGTGACCAGACTGCACAGCAGGCCGGCTCCTAGGTGCGGGGGGGGGGAAGAGAGAGCACACAGGGACCATGCACTGCCCCTGCCCCAAACATTAGCTCCACACTTCATTGGCTGAGAACTTGCTGCTGGAAATTTCTTGGACGCAGCATGGTCTGGGGTGCCAGGAGAGGCAGGAATCCTGCCTTAGTATCCCTGCTGTACCTCTTACCAGGAGCAGCTCAAAGTAATCCCCTGTTGCCCCAGTCCTGAGCCTCCTCCCGCCAAAGTCAGAGCCCCCTCCTACATCCCAAAGCTCTCATTCTCAGCCTCACCCCAGAGCCAAAATTGCAGTCTCATTATATTGCGTGGCAGGCATCAACAATTTTCTTCAACTGAGTCATGAGAAAAAAAGTTTGAAAACCACTGTCCTAATCCAATCATTGTTAACCATCACTAATTAGTAAACAAATCATTTCAGTGCAATACTGTTGGTTGCAATTCTTCCAGAGACGTTGCTTCTGTGGTACATTAACATTCACATTTTTTTTCCAATGTTACTTCTTAACTATATACTTCCTGCGTATAACTCAAAGCATGTTTTCTCAACTCTTCCCTCCTCCCCAATGCATAATGAGACTTTCTCTCTTTCTCTCTCTCTCTCTCTCATATCTTGTATCATTCTTGTACATCATGTTGGTTCAGAAATTTCCAAAAATACCTCATTAACAATATTACAATGGGCACTCCACCTCACTCTTGAGTAACATTGCAAAGCTTCCTCTTTTTACTTCTAACAGTTGAGATTTTCAAAAGAGCCTGAGAGTAAGGGATTCAACTCCTTAGGTGCTTTAAGTAGCCCACTCTACAACTTACTTTCTTTTTAAAATTCCCTTTGGGCTCACATATTTCTGCCAGGGTCCTTGCTTTAAGAAATTTGATGTTTTTAAATTTCATTTTCAAGATTGATTGGACTCCCTTCAGTCAATTTTTCCCATTATATATCTATATCTATATCTATATCTATATCTATATCTATATCTATATATCCATGCTATTATTTTTCCCAGAACACAAATCTACTGCAAAACCAATATGGAAGTAGATTTCATGGATGACTTTTGCTAGGATTTTGCTACTTTTGATTGGATCAGTCAAGGTTATGGGAACTACTGAGGTTCAACCTGTAGTTCAACACTGTGGTGAGCTTCATCTGTTGCCATCAAAACAAACCAACCTAATGTGCTGATGTTTAATTTGATATTTTGTATACAACAGTCTCTAAATGTCTTTGTCCATTTTTGTTCTTACTATTCTCATTTTTCTTTTTAGCATTTGATCTTTTGTGTCTGGATTATTAAAAAAGAAAGGAAAAATACGCACAGATTACTGAAAGATATGTGTGCTACTAAATTTAAACAGCTACAAGCAATTATAATATATTACACATGGCAAGAACACCAGAAATAAGCATTTTTACATGGTAAAAATAAGCTTGATTGGCCTTTGCAATTTTATTCTTATTATAAAACTTCATTAGCTAGGAGGAGCTATGCTTTGCTGGTAGTTCTGTATAAAACATTTCTTGGGAAAGAGGCCTAGCTCTATATTGTTTAGTGGATCCTAACTGCATTTTTTAAAGGGATGATTCAAGGAACTGGTAATGGAACACAGACCTGGTCTCTCCTAGTTTGAATCTTGCTCCATCTGTTTACAGACTTGGTGATCTATGGAGCTAGAGATTTATGGAGTGGGTGATCACCCTCTAGTTCCAGCTGTCCACATTACAACGAACAATTACAACTGGCATTAGCTGACTTCCCTCTTGGTCTACTCAAGAAAGGCCAAAGATTGGAGGGGTGATGGGAAACAAGTTACCCTCTCACCATCCAGACTGATGCATATCAGTAGGGTAATGAGGGAAACTTAAACAGCTTTTGTTACTGTTCCATGGATTGATACCAGTAATTTAGTTTTCACTGCCATCCAGCCTGTACCTTTTACAAAGCACTGAAGGAAATGCCTGGTTTAAGCACACAAGTACTTTGCTGAACTGAGACCTTGCGGAAAGTAAAGTGAGTTAACTGTTACAAAAAATACTAATTATAATTGAAATATAATTTTGGAGCTGTTGCAAATTCAGGATTTAAAACATACACTTAAGTATTTTTCTGAATTAGGATTTGAATGTCTCATAATTCCTTCTGAATCTGAAAAATAAAAATAATTCAGTTTCTTCTAAATTATGCCTGAAAGCAT